TATGTGGCCCACACTAATGTTTACTGGATTGGTTAAATGCAGTGTTCAAATTCTGCATGTGTATGCATGGCAATTCTTTATATATTTTATTGAAAAAGTTGTTGCAGTCTGTTTAAATGAATGTTTCAATTTTTCGCCTGTTGAGAAATTAAATTTTGTTGAGAAATTAAATCACTGTCTTTCATTTTAAACCATCTAAAATCATTTTAAAATTCAAATTGAAACACTGAAAGAATCAACAATTCCCAGTTTTCTATCAGTAGCAGAATTAATATCTGGATTAGAATTATAAGCATTTATCATTTATCATCAATATCATTTTCCATGCCCTCTAAGATTCAGATGGTTACAAAATATACGTCTCTGTGTTAACACACTTGCAAATGTACGTGAGCACAGCTTTGTCTGTGTGTGTTCTCACACCAGGGCCACATGCTGATCTCAGCTGAGAGCTGCAAATGAGAGATTTACACCACATCAATAAATTAGGCGATACCTCGGCTCTCTCCCACAGCGCACTTACATTTCTGCACTCAGAAAGAGAGATTAGGGAGAGAGTGGTAGAAACAGTCTCCCCAGGAGGGGCAGATGAGAACGTATGATGATCCTGCATTGAACCTCACTCCGAAAATACCATTAGTAGAAAAAGGGGCACCTAAGAGGAAGAATATTTTAGCCCACGTCCCTGAGATAATTCTGTCGTACGACAGGAAGATTTGATTAAGCAAAACATTAAACAGTAAAAATAGGAATATGGATTACATGGATTGAACAGAGGATTATATGCTGCAATGCAGTAGAACAGTGATTCCCATTTAGTGGATTGGATCGACTGTATCTTTTTGTTTTTTGTATGTCTTTGATTCACAGTTTATCATTAGTTTTTAACTGGTCGTGAAGACAGATAGAGAACATTGAGCACATTCCTAATCTAGTGCTCAATTATACCAGTATGTTACCAATCAGTCTGAAAGTATGGGAATCAAAATGTTTTAGGAAATATGTGTACGTGTGTAGCACAAATAATTGATCAATTAGTGCACTAAATCAAAGTGCATTTGATATAAAGCAAACTTACTTGAATTAAAAGTTAATTTAATGTGAACAAATCGAAATTAATTAATAAAAAAGATGCCAATTTAAATGGACAGTGTGAGTGTGTGTGTGTGTGGGGGTGTGTGGTTAAGTTTTGAAAGGTTTCAAATCACAATAATGGTTCTGAGTTTTACAAAAGTTCCAGAGTGGGCGCAGCTATCAGATGAGTCATATTGTCACTTCACTGGTCTGATAATGCGCAGCTGAGATGAGAGCAGAGACAGGAGAACAAAAGAATGAACGCATTTTACCATCCTTGATGATAACATTAATGTCAAGGTGAAAGAGGGGAAAAAAAACATCAAAGTTAATGAATATTTATGGAGACCCACAGTAAAAGCTGTTTTATTTTGAACAGGGACAGACTGGCCTGGTGAAGATAGCACTTTAAGGTCCGAACAGGGACAGACTGGCCTGGTGAAGACAGCAAAGTCCTGCGCAGACTAGCGTTTAATGAATATTCATTGTTCATTGTCCCAAAAACAATTTGCTTAATGCTCTGTTTCTCTTTGCATGCATAAAATGTACATACGGTTTTTGCTCGCGTTGTTGGTCAGATGGTGTTATTTATCTCTACTGTTGGTTATTCAGGAAGAATACTCGCTTATGTATGTGAGTATTTATATAAGAACTACACACTGTTTTTTAGGCTACATTCACAGCCTACGTTTGTAGTCCGACTCAGGCCAATTCCTTATCGGAATCACTGCAAACAATCATGTCACATTTTCTCTGACATTTATGTCAATGGAATGAGACAGATGTCACTATTCTGTGGAGACGGCAAATTAAATGCAGATATGGATGGAATAGGGAATGCAGACCATCATTGAAGGAGCTAGTCAGTGGGAAGATCAGGATTGTAAAGGTCTTCTTGCTCCCAGGACATGAGGTAGCATCAGGAAGCTAGACTTTTTCACCTGCAGGTCAGTGCTTTGGAGAGAGATGAAAGATCGGCTGAACAGCGATAGCGCCAGTGTTTGAGGTTCTCAGATTGGTTGCAAAGTGATTAAATTGTTTGACATTCATTGTGCAATAGCTTCCATGCCATAGCCTAACATGTGTAGCATCCATATTGACTTCAGTGAACTTGTAAACCTGTGATATCAGCGCTGTAGACTGGGTGATGATTTTGTCTATAATGTGCAATAAGACCTTTTAGCTTTTTTTCTACTGTTACTTCAGCCTTTTAATGATCCATCTGCTATGAAGTCACACACGTGTCAATGTCACTTCAGTAATATATGAACATTGTTTTTAAAAAAAATCTAGTCATAACTGGGATGAAAGAAAAAGAAGCCAGACTGTCAAAAGTTAAACTGATGCATTTCCAGGTCAGGAGCTACGGTGTTGCTATGGTTACTTCCCTCACAGCCCCTCCCGAAATAGAAGATGTCTGATGAATGAGAAGAACAACAGCTACTTTATATATGGTGTAGTATTCTATTCACATACTGGCAGAATGAATAAGTAAGGCCAGACATTCTGGTCTATTAAAGCTGGAGGTAGACCTAATGCAGTGTCCAAGCAGCTTTTTTTCAGTCTGGGTCCTTTTCTGTCACGTGGGCATCTAAATTAACTGATATATGTGTGTGTTGTCGTTACTGCACACTTTCTTGTGATGTCACAGTATCCAGTGTGTGATCTGGACGAACTGGGCTGGCTGGAAATTGTAGATCTGCTGATTTCTCATTTATCTTCATATTGTATTGAGACATTTGTGAGATGGTGCCCAAAAAGTAAAGCAGGTTCCATGGACATCCAAATGAATTAACGACACATCAGACTAGTTTGGACGCATCAATGTTTAATTATCCTAAATGATAATAGAAAACCTCTTAATTAGCCCAGCAGCATTTATTAAAGTGGATAAAAGATCTAAAATTTGTCTTGGGTTTAATAAAAGAGTGGCACATTATTCACATAATTATTTATAAATATTGCAAAAATTGAAAAATCTCCTGCCCTCTGTATTATCCTGCCCATTTATCCCTTCCGCTTTCATTAGCCGTTCAAAGCTCAAGAGTCATTCGGTGGCCACTCGACAGCGGTGTGAAGTGTGCGCAATTCCCAGTTCCTTTTGTGGAACATGTGCACAGTGTGTGTGTGGAACGCCGGAAAGTCTTAACAGGATCACATAAATCCTGTAAAGTAGGGGGCCACCACAGTGTTTCATTAACCTAGGCCGCAGGAAAGAGCATTACTCTGAAAGCACACACGTTTCGCACAGAGGCATTTTGCACTAGCGTCACATGCAGTAACCTTGATTGGAAGTGCTATACCAGGAAGACAACAGGGCTGGTTCAAAGCATTAGCACAAGGATGGAAAAGGAAATAACAATTATTAGAAAGAATATATTTGCCTTTCTCTTTGCACATTGTAGAAATCTATATTTAAGCTGGGCTTTGTTCAAATATGGGGGTAAAAGCAACGTTGAAAAGTCTGCAAAATGTCACAGTATGACACGTAACTACACGTGCTTTGATGTAAGTATAAATAAAGGCAACTCAGCAAATAGCAAGCAGACATCCATCGGTCTGATTTTGTTAGTAAGAATTCCCAATTTTACAAATGGGCGTGTCAGTTTTGCAAATTGCAGAATGCATATTGCAAGCAGTAAATTGCTGATGTGGTTAGCAAGTTCTAATTACAAAGACAAATCAGTGAGCAACTTTCAATTTTGAAAGTCTGCAGGTTATGAGTTGCAATTACAGACCGTGGTTTGCTTCTGCAGGTCGTGATTTATGTATGCTAATTACTGTATAATCTGTGCTTCCTGGTATTAATGGTGGAAACACGGCTCCACACTATTAAAACTCTGGGACCCTGAGTGTCCTAGGTTGATTTGTTCTGCTTTGTAAATTGCACCAATTTACATTGTTTTGTGGACCCACATGAAACACTACACTTCTTTAAAAAATAGCATTTGATCAAGTTTTCCATCATTTCCTATATGATGTCTGTTTGTCATAATGTGAAATTACTTAGTTACACTGTTGAAGTCGGTTTTGTTTTGGAAACAGTGTGACACCGTTGTTAAACCGTGCCCATTACAGAAACATGACATCGCTTGGCATCATGACTGTTGATACATTTTTTAAAAACATAATCCTTTCACAGTTCTGACAAGGAAAATGCTGGGCATGGCCAACATCTCCATTACCAAAATGAACCTGACTTCAGTGAGTGAGCTGCCCGGATGTCACTTAGCAGCATAAAGATTTGACATTAAACTTGTTTTTCTACATCTTTTTCTGGATCACAATAGTACTTTAGTAGTCAGTGTCAAGTCTAGGTCACATGACTTTTTCTTTTTTTAATAAATAAATAAAATACACATGTCTGTGTATGTATGTGACTCTGTTCACCAGCATAATCATTGTCTGAGTCAAAACCAGCCTTCTGGCAGCCCCTCTCTGTGCTGGTGGTGATGGTAATAGTTTGCCAGTGCCTCAGGGAACTGCTTAGCAGTCAGTGGTGTGTGTGTGTGCGTGTGTGTGTGTGTGTGTGTTGTTTGCACCTATCAGCAGGCAAGCCCAGGGCAGGACACTGAATGCATGTTCCAGCAGCCAAGCCATCAACCTTTTTAATCCAGCCCAGCAGGGTGTTGGTTTTGTGTGTATGGTTGTAGCCACTCTGTGTGTATGTTTGAATGGTTGACAAAAAACTCTACAACTGCAAAGAAGTTGGTGAAATGTAGTTAAGGTGGACTTGGCGTTAAGACAGATCCTCGAACTGCACGTCCTCATTTGATTCTGACTTATTGCGAATATTGTACCCTATGTGATTCTTACTACGTTTGTCAAAGCCCCGTCAAATTTGTCAAGTTTCATTTGCACATGTATCCGTGATGTGTCTAATTACCTCCCCCTCCATCTTCTTTCTCTCTCTCTCTTGCCTGCAGGACGAATGTCATAGGATGAACACTGCTGGTGGGGTGTGTCTGCCTGTGCTGTCCTCTATCCTGGCTGTTGCTGGGACTCTGGCTGCTGTGTCTGCCTTCACTCTCGCTCCTCTCTCTGCCCTGGCCGGGGCTGCCTATGGGGTTGCCAATGGCATCCCCAGCACTGGGGCAGAGAGGGCCCCCTCACCCATCTCTACACCATGCTCCAGTCTTGTAGCTGGGGTCCTCTATGGATCTTTCTCCCTAAGGGAGCTTTTCCCCTCCAGGGCTCCGGGCTGCTCCTGGTCCCTGGAAAACCCCGACCCCACCAAGTATTCCCTCTACCTCCGCTTCAACCGCCACCCTGTTATCTGTCGGACACATTCCCCCATGCTCCTTTCCCTCGATCACCATCTCGCAAATCAAAGCTGTCCCCTTGATTTACAGTCATCGACTGCCAATAACCAGGACGTCATCGATCTCTGCGGCAGCCAGACCAACTCAGAAGGACCGTATTCGTTTCTGCAGTTTGATAAAAACTTTGTCCAGTTGTGTCTCACCAGACATCCGGCCGTCGACGAGCTTCAGGTAACCAAGGATTTATTGGAGCAGAGACTAGTGGAAGTGTTGCTCATCAATAACGAGAACTCCAGTCAGTTCACCTGCGGCGTGCTGTGTCGCTGGTTCGAGGAGTGTTTACGCACAGGGCACAATGGAGAGCAGGAGGTTTCTGATGCGGATGGCTGCGGAATGACCCAGACAGGATGTATCTGTCCGAATCACAACATCATGGCGCCACCTGTTCCTCTCCTCCCAGAGACACCCCACAGTTTCAGCAATGGCTCTCTGGCTCCTGATGACTGCTGTGTTACTGAGCTGCATTCCAATGATGCAATCGCAATAGCGCCGAGAGATGTCCGACAAGGTAGGGCTCTGTTCCTGTCATATAATGAGAATGTGGTTTAGCATTGCTTTTCCTTCTTGATCACATTTCACTAGGACACATATTATGTATATTATTTATATTTGCCATTATTAGAAGTTCTACAGCATAATGTGACTAAAAATGCATTTTTCTAAACATTTATTCAATCCTATAGAGTTCTGTTTGTGCATGTTACTTACAGATTACTGGAATTATAAATACAGGGAACTGTGTTCTTCCTTCCTAAACATATTCAGAATATTAGTAAACTGGAAATAAAAAGAATCGCTTCTACACAGGGCAAGATGATATTCTGAGCAGATCCAAAGGCGGAAGGCCTACTCAAACCTCTTGATTCAGGAAAGGCATTTTTTATATGCTGAACTTTTAGCTAAATTTGATCAAACATCATTATTAACTTGTGTAAGTCCTACGACAGTTCTACAGTTGATGTTGAAATCGACTCAATTTACATTACATTACACATTTAAATAAGCTTGCTTGTATTCAAATCTTTGCCAGAAAAAAACATTCAGTTTTATGCTTTTTATAAACAACCAAGACTAATTATGGATGTCAATGTCTTTCTGGGTTCCTCCATATGGCCATGGCGTTTATATTCTACATTTTATTGTGCACATTAAGCATGTTGTGATAAAATTAGAATGAGATTAATTTCGACACTAATGCTCTGTCGTCAAAACCAATAATAAATGTAACCATACGTACGGCCTAGCACACATAAAACACTGATATTAGCAAGCACAGGTGCATGCATCATTTACACATAGGTGCACCTGTATGCAGGATCATGCTTTGTCTTTTTGATATGTTTATACATCTGTTATTAACTCTGAGTAATTGAGACTAAAACATTCACCGAGATGAATGTGACAGATTATATACCAAGAAATAAAAGGGTTGTTTTTCTTCCAGGAACAGAGAATTAAACCGTTTCCTTAAGGTGGCTTATGGGCATGTTTGCATAATGAACAGCACCAATTAGAGCTTGGTTATTATTACTGGCCTGCCACAAACTCACCGCTCACTAACACACATAGTGAAAATCTCTCCGGAGAGCTCTGAGAGCATTTACCTTGCTGACGGGAAGGTTATCTTTCCCTGGGTTCCATCAGTGATGTTTAGTGTGTGGGGGTGTTAATAGTTAGGCGAAGGGACACACAGGGACAGGAGTAGAGAGACGAAGAAGGACAGTGTAGCCGTTTTACTTAGTCGGATGTAATGCCCTTTAAATAAAGTAAGAGTAGGCCTACAGTAACTGCTACGACAGAGATCACTACATGATCAGTTTGGCTTTCGATCTTATTCTGGCTCTTCTTCTGTCTTTTCTGAAACTGCACCAATAACCTGGAGATGGCTGATGATTTTCACCCATGTCCATACTACATAGAACGGAATAATCTTTATTTTCTTTTGGTGAGGGCAGGGGTCACCCATTATATTTGTCGGAGGGCCAGCCTGGTCCCAGTGTAAGGGTAAAACGCTGCACAAATTTCGAGCAAATATGTATGTAAAGCATGGTTAAATATCAGTCTAATTTCCATATAAATAGGGCATTGAAGACAATTCATGCTAAATTATGCCATGTAAAGAGTTTGCTAATTCTCTTTTTCCTTGTTTACTAGGTTAAGGCATATATCATGGGTTTTATTAAGCATAGAAAGGCATCAAATATGGATGACACGTTGCATAATTGAACAATTTTTAAATTATACACAGCCACTTAATTAGCCCTGCTCCTGTTAGGCAATATAATGCATTATTACATCATTAGCAAAACCATGCAGTACTGGAGCGTTGAGGAATTAAAGTCTATCGCCCCAACTATTTTGTATTATCCAGATACATGGTGCAAACGATTAGATTAGATTAGATTAGATTAGATTAGATTAGATTAGATTAGATTAGATTAGGTTTGATTCAATTCGATTCAATTCGATTCAATTCGATTCAATTCGATTCAATTCGATTAGAATGATATTGGTTGCACGATGGAAACTTGTTTCACTGCCGAAACAAAGGAACAGAGGTTAAAAAAGACAAGGCTGTTTTAAATTAAAAAACAAATAATACTGCAATATCAGTAAATAATGGAACACATTTTAGGAGTAGCTTTTGATTTTTATGAAAATATGCTTTATTTACTCAATCACAATTTTCCCTTTTGTTATCTGCCAGATTTTTCAGCACAAATTAGCCAGTCACAATAAAGTCAGCTGGGTGTTGATTCCCCACCAGCCTTCCTAAACTAATTATGTATGTTTTGCTTGTTGAAAATTATCCTGCTGTTAAAACGCCTTTACAGTCTGGCTGGAAGAAAATGTATGACTGCCTGTGTTTACTGAAGGGTAATTACCCTTGTTTACGCAAGGTTTGATATTTGGATAAATCCTCCACTGAGTTTTGGCTGTTTCCACGGTGACCTCCTCATTGTCATTCTTCATCTGTCAAAAAAAAAAAGAAATCTGGACCCTGCAAATACTTCGGCTTCACCAAACAGACAGAGACCATATTGATAGCAGTGACAGACAGTAGCTCATTAGTCAGAGAGAAGACAGAGAAGGAAACAGGACAACTTTGGTGATAAAGCTCTCAGAATAAAACTTCAGTGGTCGACCTGGTACATGACACAGAACTAAATGAGCCCTGGTTTCACCTCCTAGTCAGAGAGCGACTTCACTCGTTACGTCTGCAGTCTTTGCCTGAGCCCCAGGCCAGCGAAGAGAAGGATATATAAAACTAGAACTGAAGTAAAACATCAAAAAAAAAAAAAAAAAAAGTGACGGAGCACAGAACCTTCTGGAGTAAATATTTAAAGGATAACCTGGAGACATAGAACCAGGCAAATCAAGAGCAGACTTTAAAGAAATACTTTTTTCCCATGTGTTTTCAGACTGAGAGTTGTACAATTAGCAGCTTCTCTTCAAGACGCATAGAGAAGTGGTAGTTCACTGACTAGTTCTAACTTATATACCGGTTCGGGACAATAACCCTGGTTGTGAGGGATTACGTCAAACTGGCCTGGTGTTGTGTTTTGTTTGCACTTGAAATATAATTATATTCATGTAGAGATTCTGCTCTGACATGAAACAAACCAGTAACACATCAGTCCAAATCAACATCACACGTGGTATCGCAGCAATCAGTGTCAGAAATCAGACAGAAAAAAAATATATTTTTGTAAACCAACTGGCTCATGAATACAGACACCCTTTTAATATTCGTTTCGCAGTACATTTATTTTACTTTTCTAATCCCTGGAATGTGTGTGAGTTGGCCTTTGATTTTATTTTTGAATTATTAATGGATGAAGGCAGATCAAATATTAATGGAAGCCTTATTAGAGATTCTGCGGCTGGAAATAAGAAGCATGGTTTTGTGGGCCGAGCTGAAAGCAAATGAGAGGATGGATTTGAGCCGGTGTCAGATCTATCATTACAAGTAAAGCAGTGAAAGTGTCTGTCATGATGGATGGTGTCTTTCTCCAGGTGACAGTGAAGCATCAGGCTTCAGGGGTGGAGAGCAGACACAATCATCAAGACGTAAAGCTTTGGAGTTCCTCTTCAAACACCTGATGATTTTCATACGATTAAGAAATGGAGCTTGGTCATCAAACATGTCGTGAGAGTTTCTATTGGCTCAACCTGCTATTTATTCTAATGATGATTAATCAAAAGGATCTAGGACATAGCCGCTTCACATCCGCCAAAATGATGTGGAAACGCCACTGTACTTTTGCAGTGTAATATTTGGCTGACGAGGAGGCTGATCCAAATGGGATCGTGAGGATGCTGAGAGGGAAGCCAAACAGTAAAGGTGTGGGTCATTACAGGCAACCAGCGAATTAAAAAAGCTATAAAGCTCCATAGGGCCGGGGATAACTGCAGAGTCAGGTCAGGTGGCTGAATCTACGTGCTTGTCCAAGGATCCGTCTCTCTGCCCGAGTCACAGAATCTGTAGTTATTACAGTACTAAATTTTTAAACACAGTAATGTTTAAGTTTTAAATACCTTAACTTTGCAGGGCCTGTCTGTTAATGAAACACATAAATTCTTTAAGTATGAAGAATCGACTAATTAAACCTGTTTAGGCCACAGAATGAGATACCAATGTCCATATGGTCCTCTGCAGTCATAGAACAGATTAAATAAAGACGAGGATGTTTCCCTTCTAACAGGCCTCCCAGCCTGTGCTGTGAAACCTCTACAGATGGTCCAGAAGACTTAGCTCTTGACAAAAGCTTCACTCCTTACATCTTCTCTTGATATCTATAATTTAGCTTTGGTTAACCCCAGCAAACCACCACGCCTCACCTTGCCATGACATTCAGTTTTACATGGACCGGAATGAACCGCACCGAGAGGCTGGATGCTCCAGGCTTTATTTCAATCAGACTAAATAAGGTTAATGTGAATGCCCCCTGATAGTGAACGGTATTTTGTCTGAACTGGTGATTTATCCAAGGTGTAGCCGGTCCTCACCCACTGCCAGCTGGGATCGACCCCGGCTCCCCTGTGACCCTTAACAGGATTAAGCTGTAGTAGATGAATGAATGAATGAATTAGTAAAGTCTTAACAGCAGTTAACAGGCTAATGGTTAATTATTAACATCCCCGTTACAGACTCAATGATACTCCCTCCGACTCTAAGATACTCCCTCTGTCTGTTCTCTGTACGCCAAGCAAGCATAATGCAGCATACTGAGTGAGAAATTAAGCTGCTGAAAACGGTGTCCTCTGCCCCCGGTGCATTTGCAGTTGGAGTTTATGCAAGCACGACACATTCAGGTCACATCTGTGAGGTCTTCTAGGGAGTGGGAAGACAGACATAGTCGTATTTAAATTCAAGACCTTGTGTCCATCTTCTTCATTTTGTTTTAAAAACTTTCTTTCAAAGGAAACCAAACAAATGTCTTGTACAAGCAGGGGTTTTTTGTCCTTAAGTGAGTTTGCAGTTTATATATATATATATATATATTA